AATTTATTAAATTACTGTAGGTTTGGCTTAGAAATTCTGATCTTTTTACAACCAAATCTAAAGTTAACATGGCTACTTATTCAGTAATGTCACAGATCTACAAGGTGTTTTATTTTTTCATCCCATACGTTTTCTATGCTGTAGTTGCATCTGTGACAACTTAATTGAAAAAAATGGTGTCAATGACACACTGTAAGGTCTGCAAAGACAGAAAAATGTTTTCTGAGCAGGATTGATCTAACAGTTTTGATCCAATCCGTAGAGATGAGGTGGAGACTTCCTTGGAAGTCCACTGAGAACATCCAACATGAGTGTCTGTCCCCACTAATGCAAATCCTTGCACTCAGGCTCATACTTCTTATGAAAGGCTTTCCAAGAATAGGGAAATTCGTTATAGCAGCAGATTATTTTCTCCCCTCCAAGTATTTTTCTGGGCGTTTTAAGCTTTAATAACAGACAGCTGAGAGAACACAGTAACTGAATATAAGAAAGATGAAGCATAGCAGCAGGCTGGAGCTATTTCCTTCCTTTAGTGCCTCCCACACCTGTTTCAAGGAAACCGACTTGCAAATGATTCACAGCAAATATAAAACAATAATGTTGAATCACATAATGCTTTTGATACAGGACCTGCTTCTGAAAATATTTTAGTTTAAAGTGGTTTTCAAAATGAGCTGTCAACTGAGCATTTTTTTCTAAAACATACTCGGAAACAAATCACAAAGTGAATCTAACACCAAGTCATTTGGAAAATGTGCTGTTGAAACAAATCATCAAAGCTCGTAAATAAGATGTTTCTCATGTTGGAGTAACATCAGCCTAACGATTTCAGGTGCAATTAACCGTGCGTCTTCAGGGTAGAAAATAAGAAAATATAAAAGTAAACAAAAACATTCAATTTATTTACAAGAAAGTTAATGTCTTCTGGGATTTTTACTGCTTATCAAACCTCATGTGTGAAGGTAGATTTTTTTAATTGATACTCAGCAAACTGAGGAAAATGAAGCATATATTGAGGCATAGTAAAAGTAAACATTAACTGCAGGAGTCTTTTTGAATCGGTATGGTCTTCTCCTTTCTGATTATTGAAGTTGATTTTAGATGCAATTAGGGTGCCACTAGCTGTGCAGAAAGAACAAGGGAGAGAGGTTGAAAGTTATTGCATTTCCATCCATAACTTTCAGCTCAAACATTTTGCAAGCAGCAGTTGTTTTCTTGTTGTCTGGCTGGAAATGTATCTAAACCAATAAAATGATCTAAGGGACTGTTTCTGATTCCTTAGACTCGGGGCGCACTGTTATTCATGTTTCAGATGTGGCACAGCTCCAGCACAGCATTACATCCTCAGCATGCTGTCAAGTCCTGCAGAAGCCTGATAATCACTCACTTATTTAAGTAAGGTATGTGGCTGCTAAGGACATACAGGTCCTGCGGATCAGGATTGAGAACCAATAAAGTGAATCAGGATGTCATGCAACTTCTTGATGTGTCCCACATGCAGTGCACTTGTAATAAATGATTAATTATTTTGTCATGGATAACAGAGTCCATCTAGTTATTTTAGTTATGTATTATTTAGACCTAGTTATCTCCGGTATGTTGGCAGGGAGAGACAGAATACCAACCCCAAAGGACTGACGTTTCACACCTGTGATTAATTTACTCTAATGGTTCTTAGTAAATTCTATTTGGAGTCAACCCAAGTCTCTTCTGCTTTTATCAACTCTAATGTTAGTAATTTTGTCACAAGGCAACTCCACATTTGTTTTTTTTTTTTAACCACCTTCACATCCGTTGCAGATTTCCTACAGCAATTCAATTTTCTGCAAGAGAAATTATTAATAAACAATTGTTTTAACAACATGTTGGCACTGTTCTCGATACCAGAGCCACATAAACAGCTTCCATGACAAATAGTGCAATCTCACTTTTTCATGTTTAAACATCTGCAGTTAATTTACAAGAAGAGATGAACATCAGTCAGCCGATATTTGCTCAGATGGCAGACAATAACTTTGTCATGTCAGATGAAGACAGCAAAGAGATGATCGATATGGAAAGAATGAGTGGGACAAAGTGGAAGTCAGATAGAAATGATGAAAAAATTTTAAAAAAGCATAACTGCAGGGATCAACAGACGGGAGTGAAGAACTGAAACCAATCGGAAATGCAAACTTATGTTTAGAGCTCTTATTATAAGCATGTGCCAAGCAGATTTCCACTGGAGACAATTTATTCAGTAATTATAAGAGATGTAGTGGAGAAACTGTCTTCTTAGATTCAGTTTGTGAAATGATACGATGAATGAAATATAGAACCCACTCGACAAGGGGTTTAGATTACATTTCTTACAATATATGAGTTCTTTATATAAAGTTTTTTCCATAAGAAAATGAAAGACATATGTACACAATCTATGGTTCGTAACCTTCTGCACACAGTTCTGATACAAACAGCAGTTTTACACCTAATTAGGAGACACAGCAGGAGAGATGAAGCAGAGGATGAAGATAAATCGGGAGAGGAAGACAACTGTTTTGGATACAGCAGTCATTGAAGCAAAACAAACAGGCACACAGGACTGAACCGGCTAAATAAAAGAGAAGAGAGAACACGGCGATTAAATCCTGACAGCCTGCAGGGATGAATACCTGCTATATATTTATTTTTCTTTAAAAGCAAATGATCACCTATCCAAGAGACCCATGAGACTAATAAATGTGTGTGAAACCGATAAAAGAATAGCGTAGCAGTAGATGATATGAGATGTAAATGGTGTTTCATTGATTATCTTCATTATAGTTCTATTAATTGCCCATCAGTCCGCTTTTAAGTTTTCTATTAGTCCACGAATACAAAAGCATCACATGTTTGTCTTCTGATGTGACTTTGAGGCATTTGTTTGGTTTTCATGATGTCGGTACATCAATGCACATGGCATGGATAAGTTGCGCATCTGTGCAGAAACCATTAAGGCTAAATGATTTTTCTACAGGTTTTGGAGAATGTTGTTCTACAAACCAGATGGCATCTTTTGTCTTCCATGTGAGATTGTGGCAAAGTACATCTGCAGCTATCACAACAACAGTGTGGTTGAACTTCAGCAGCAAGAACGCAAACATATTTCACTTTCTCAAACATGAGGTGGTGATCCAGATCCTTGATGAATTTTACTTGGTGAGCAGCTATTAGACATAAACTCTGCAGCCACGTCTGCAGTGAGATTAACAACTCCAGTTAGCATTCATACTTCTTATGAACACAAAACAAACAGCAAATTGTGACTTTTTTAAGTTTTAACTCAGATGTTTATGGAATATTTAGGATTTTTTTTTTTGCCCTAATGTTTTTGAATTAGGCCAATAAAAAAGTTGGTTACCCTGGAGACTAAATGAAAGCTAATGGAGATTTGATTATCACTGACTTGTTGCTGCTGGTGAAAAATAAACCGACTGAAGATGAGACCATTTTGATTCACTGTAAATTTCTTATATTTATATATAAAAATAGAGAAATAGTTTTTGTATGTTTAATATTGTTTTATGTAAACTTTAACTGAAGTATTCAGCAGATAAACAGCTGAAACTGATACACGCTGTGCTGAAGGTTTTAAAACAGTTTAGTTGTTGGAATTATTTATTGTTGACTCTAAATAATTAATTAATATTCCAGAATAAGCATGTCCAAGCTCACAAATAATTAAGTAGTTGTTGTTCGATCACCCTAATAATAAATATTCATTAATTAATGCAATATAAAAGTGTTGAAAACATGTTGGCAAAAAAACTTGGTAAAACAATAAGATTATGTCAGGACTGCAACTGTTGTTTTAACTTCTTCTGAGAAAATGGCAATTTGTCTAATGCAACATATGCCTTGTCAGAGACAAACTGGCAAACATTGCTATGTACACATTATGTTACCAGGTCACGCATTTGTGGGATTACACTCTGGAGTCCTCTCCTGACATTTGAGAACATGTTGTTCTTTAATACACCACCACTGCTGCATCTGTCAATCACATCTGCCGATTACTGTCACATGATCTGCTTTACTACCCTAAGAGGATGTTCATTAATATAATGCAATGGCTACTAATCTCAGTGCTATTAGAAAGACCAAACATGTATATGTTTTAAATGTTAAAAGGCTCTGTGCTGCAGTTTCAAATGAAATAGGGTGGACAACAAATGTCCCCGCTGAGCTGGACAAATGATGTTCAGGTTGGATTTTTATCTCTGGCTCAATACAGATCTTACTCCCAGATCAGTGTCTCTCCAATCTGTGCTCTTTCCACCCACTTTTTTTCTTCTTCTCTCGCTCTCTATTTCCAGCTCTAAGAAACATCAAACACTGAAGTGATCCAAGGCAGGCAGGCAAAAAAAAAAAAAAAAAAAAATCAAATAAATATAAAAATAAATGAGTGAGATGAGGAGAATCTGATAGCAGAAAAGTAATACCCACTTCAGAGGCCTGCTGCGGATCATTTCTACCCCCCAGCCTTCCAGACCCCTCCTTTCCTCGCCCTCCCTTCTCGTTCTTTCTTGGTTTCCCCTTATTGTGGGAACACATTACAGGTGTGCTGCGTGTTCACTTGTAAGCAGGAGAAACATCGATTTTCTGTCAGTTTCGGAGGATAACCAAAGGATATAATGCTGTGCATGTTAGGCAGTCGGGTATGCAGCGCTGTCACGACGTTTGCAGGGAATGTGAACATACAGATGTATGCACCTCTCTTATAACTGTACCACCGACAATAAAATTTATGGAATGGCTTGTATTTTTTTTAGAATTTTATTTTTGGAAAGGTAGGCAAACCTTTGAGAATTGTTTAAATTTTGAGTGAAAATCATGTCAGTAGTATGTCTTTCCTCTGCATTGAACATTTAAATCCTTGCAAACCAACATTAACACGTGTTTCATTCAAGAAGTGCCTGATAATAGAATCTCTGCTGTCTGAATTTTATTAACTCTCCTCTCTTTCCCTTTTGTTCGCTCAGGTTATGGCGGGGTGGAGTTGCTGCTGGTGCTGTGGGGCCTGGATCTCTCTATGCCCTGCCCCCGCCACTGCATCTGCTACACTTCACCTAGCACCGTTTCCTGTCAGGCCCACAACTTCCATGACGTGCCCGAGGGCATCCCCGCTCAGAGTGAACGTGTCTTCTTGCAGAACAACAAGATCCAGCGGCTGCTCCGCGGCCACTTTTCGCCCACCACCACCATGCTGTGGCTTTACTCAAACAACCTCTCCTACATACAGCCGTCCACGTTTCATGGCTTTGACCGGCTGGAGGAGCTCGACCTGGGGGATAACCGGCACCTGAAGGCCGTCGCCTCAGACACCTTTATGGGTCTGGGTCGGCTACACGCGCTGCACCTGTACCATTGTGGCCTCATCAGTCTGCCTCCAGGGATCTTTGCTGGTCTACATAATCTTCAGTATCTCTACCTACAGGTGCTTGGATAACTGCCAATTTTTAATCTCTACTGCTAAATGTTACATAATACTGTAGTGTATTATGGACTTACTGCTAGAAATTTGACACTAATGAAATGCTAACAGCAGATAAGTTAATTTACCCACAGAAGCTTGACCATGCAAAGCAGCACCAGGAAGAAAAAAGATAACCAAATGCACAAATCATTGCATAATGTCCAAGATATTATGTTTTCTATTCTATTACACTAACCTAACTACATTTTTATGTATTTTCCAAATTTTGACAAAAATATCCATCATTTTGTTTTAAAAATATAATTTATTCACTGACATTGTTTAGTAAGGGAAACTGCATTTTAATCTGTCAAGCACCCAGCAAATGACAGCATTAAAGTCACAGGCTCATACGTTTGCACTTTTAAGCAATTGGTCATGAAATCTACAAAAAAGACAAACTAGTTTATTCGACATGACCCAATTTTCTACTGATTCCTCAAACTGAAACAAGCACATAAAGACAAGCAGCAAATCGTTTTAGTAACCTCCAACATGGCTCGGTATTTTCGAGCCTCTGTGAGCTGCAGAGATTACCAGTAATCCTGCAAACCTGCAGAGTTCATCTTTTGCCTGAAATTTATGGAGAACAAGTTTGTGAATGTAATCTGTATGACAAGACAAGCATTTATGTTGTGACCTAATCCAAAAATATTATGTTTATTATTCATGTGAGGTCAGGAGACTGCTGAAAATAAATCTTATTTCAAAGCCTATTCCAATTAAGAATATTACTCTTTACTGGAAATAACATAAAGGCTATTAAATGATGAATGAACTATTACTAATTTCAGATTCCTTCTCTCCTTTTTTCCTTCCTTCTTTTCTTCCTTCCTTCCTTCACAGGATAATCAATTAGAGTTCTTAGAGGATGATTTATTCATCGACCTCCTGAACCTAAGTCATCTCTTCCTGCATGGGAATCGGCTTTGGAGTCTTCGCCAGAACACTTTCCGAGGATTGGGCGTCTTGGACCGACTCCTTTTGCACCAGAACCGAATCCAGTGGGTTGATCGGCAGGCTTTCCATGACCTTCGGCGTCTCACCACGCTCTACCTGTTCAATAACTCCATCACTGAGCTATCCGGTGGCACCCTGATGCAGCTGCCGGCCTTGGAGTACCTGCGTCTAAATGACAATCCCTGGGAATGTGACTGCAAGGCGTTATCCCTCTGGGACTGGCTGCGAAGGTTTAGGGGCTCCACATCCACGCTGATCTGCGTTTCACCGCCGGAGTTGGCAGGAAAGGATATGAAGATGCTGAAGAATGAAGAGCTACCCAGCTGCTTGTCGAATGAGGGTCACAGAAGAGGTAACTCTGGAGGGGAGATGGAGCATGGAGACTCTTTAAACCACCTAAACCGCCACAGAATCCATCACAACCATCATCAGCGGCCGTACCTGCCGCATGGGGACCAGTACAGCTTGCCTTCGGCCTCACCCCTGCCGCGTCCACCGAAGGGAAGCCGCAAAAACTGTACCCGCCGGGGCCGCAAGGGAAAAGGGGGGCTCAATGAGGTTCAGATACTTCAGGAGGGGAATGAGAAGGACTATTCTCCAGATGGAGGTAAATATGATATGTCTGCATCTTCTAGAAGGAGAAACAAGTGCATCCCCAGAACTTCTGTTGGTCCACCAAGTGGAGTCCAGAGAGCTAATAACACTGGATCCCATGCAGCAGCATTTATTCCCTGTTTGTCATCAGCTCTGTTTCTGTCAATCTATTTTGTGATTCTGCGCTGAAACAGAACCCAGACACTCATGTGCTAATGATGCAACCTTATTATTAATTCTCCTAAAAAAACACCCTGTCCTGGCTATTTAAGGAGACATGTGGACAACCAAGTGTGTACTTGATACTGTTTGGGAACATTGTAAAGTATTCCTGCAGTAAAAATGCAGGGATTCTTACGTGTCAAAAGATGGAAGTCAGGGAGCGCAACTCAGCCCACTGTTTTGATGATGTCAGCATAGAAACAACAGGGAAACTTCTGTCTCTTTGGCATCAGTCACTTCATCAAAGTTATGTACTCATGAAAACTGTACAGCCTCATGAAATAATGAGCCAATTATTCATTCAAATTACAGTGAGTGCACACAGTAAGTATCAAAACAGTTAACCCTCTTGACTCAATAGTGCTCTCACAGCACAGGCTTGATCTGTCACTCACACTAGGACAAAGACAGTCATTTAAAGCTGTCTCTTTGCTCACTCAACAGCACCTTAAGATCAAGAAACAAAGTACCGCAGACACTGGTGGCAGGAAAATGAGTCATTGTGAAGAGTTGCAGCAGTAATAGCTGTAATCACTATCAATCCGCCGGCAAATTGCCTCTGCACCCACGTCTCACAGCAGTTTTAATGCACATCTGTACACTTTGGCATCTAAATAATACAGCTGAAATTGTCACACAACAATATAACTGTCAGTTCGTCAAAGCAGTCCAGTCGAAAGCGATCATTTGTCCTCAACTTTGCATACCAACCTAAAAGCCAGTTCAAGCTAACAAATCATTCTAAAAGCCAACTGGTCTCATTCAGCATCCGAGAGTGAGTGAATATTCCTAGAAACTGTTGTGTAACTGTAGGTGGAAAGTGGAAAAGGAAAATAAATACTCTGAAGCCATGTGGATACAACAAAGCTAAATAAAAAGAGTGCCTAATGGGAGCCAGTCATCCTATGAACAACATCTGGAGGCGAGAGACAATTTCATTCACTCTCCAACTTGTCTTGGTTGAGCACCTCTCTGCAGGCCAAGAAAAAGGGATTTAGTCTCAGTCATAAAAGTTCTGATTCAATGAAAGTGATGTGCGCTTCCCTCTGTAATGCAATGGAGGTCTGTGTATCATTCAAAGCACCATTCAGTCCAAACAGTCACAAGAAACAGATTCTGTGTCAGAGGTTTGATCCGCCTCTGTTGAGTAAAAAGTGAGGTCAGTGTGTGACGAATGAAAGCGCTTGCGGACTTCTCTTCTCTGGTTTGTTAACAAGGACTTGTTGATCTTCAAGCCTGTTTGAAGAGCTGGATTTTATCGCTGCTAGGTCTGAAGAGAGAAAATCCCTGTGACATGTGGAGGCTATGTGCTCTTCTCCAAGAATTACCCATGACAAAAAAGAACAGTGGGATACAGCATACCCTTTGATAACAGTGCAGTTCAACAGTGGTCTTCCCCCAGAAAATAAAAAGAGACCAACCACCTTCACAGCTCACTGCAAACCCAGGACTCTCATTTGGTTTTTCTAGACATCCTGTTTTTCTGTGCAGCTCACCTGATGTCTCCACCACTCAACTGAAATTGGTGGAAACTGATAAAACAAATCATTTCATAATTTTCCACAGCAAAACAAAGCATTGTCATCTTTATTTGAACTAACTGCTCCTCATAAGTAGAGATGCACCAACATATTAACAGTCACAATATTTTCAGCTTGAATACCCCCATTAGGCTACCAGCCATTTGTAAACTCAAATTTGATTATTGTTCTGGTTGCATCTCAGAGATAACTCAAAAGTTAGCTATTTTCAGGATCAGCTGAAGATAGATCTAGATAGATGTCATATCACCTAAAGTGCATAAATTCCCAAAGTGAGTCAAATTAACCATTTTTTAAACTTATTTTCTGAGGTTAAAAACAAACAAACTACAAATGAGCAAGAGAAATAAATATTAGCAACTAGATTTTCACATTACACTATTGATGATTATAGTGAACTGGAAAGAAGTACTTCCTGATTGATCCACTGGTTCATGTCGCCCTGCAGTCAATAGGTGAGAGGTGGAGTCCATTGACTACTGGAGTAGAAACCCCTCAAGTGAGCCAGAGGTAGTAAGTGAGTATTGAAGTGCATCTGCACTGGTTTGTGCTCTATGCATAAAGGAGAAGGTGAAGAGAAAGAACATTACTGCAGCTTTTCTATCCTTTTGTTCCTGAGAGATAATTCATCCACATCAGGAAAACAACAAGCCTCTCAAAGAAGCACAAGCTGACAGTAGCATTGAATGAAATTTGGCTTAATATGAGTTAGTGATCCATTCATTGTGTTTCATTAACATGTGGCGTTGTTGTCCACTTTTCTGCTGACTCCCTTTGACACCATTGTGCATTGGAGGGAAGGTAATTCCATTATTATTTTGTTACTTTGACCCAGAATGAACAGAAGGCTAAGGCTCAAAATTGGTAGCAACTGGAAACAAAGGACATCTAACAACAGACTTGACACAAACACTAGACAGTCGAGACAAGGACCCAACGAGGAACAAGGAACACAGGTGGGATTAAATACCCAGAGGGTAATCAGGGAAACGAGACACAGCTGGGAACCATCAACTGGAGACTCGATAGACACATAAACCTAAAATAAACACAAAGAAAATCTTCACAGTAAAATCAGTGTCAGATTTTAGCTTTACAAAGGTGGAGATCAGATGAGCCTCAAAATTCTGACTGGTGCATCTCTACTTATAATTAAACAATAATTAAGCAAAAAAAAAAAAACACAATTATGACAGGTCATTTAAAGAAGAAAAGCACAAAAATTGTGATCCGGTTTACAGATTACCCCAAAACAAGCAGGTTCGTATTGGACTCCAGAGGCAGGGGCCATATTTGTACCCCAGCTTGTGTGTGTTTCCCGCTGAGTCCCACCTTTTCGTGTCTATCTATCTCGATGTCGGGAACATTGGGCGGCCTGTCACTATAGTGTCACTGTCCTGACAAATAGGATTATAGGTCCCTATATGAGTAAACTTTGTTTGTGCTGCTGTAAACCAAGAGGTGATGTAAATTGTGTCTGTTTATTCCTGTGAGAATGACTTTTGTAATAAAACAAAAAAGAGAAAAAAAAAGAGAGAAGAAGTGAGACTGTTGTGTCTCACTTGTTCCCATGAAAAATGTACAGGGAGCTGAAGGCTGGAACTTTGTTATTTTTTTAATATTCTTATAATTGTTTTGGTTTTTTGGGTGGGGGGGCTTTCAGTCTTTTTGATTTGCTGAGTCACTCCAGATAAACAGCACACTGCAGTGTCCTATGTGCTTCTCCTCCTTATCTTTTTCCTTACTTTCCATTCGTCATCCTCTTTCTCCATCTTTCCTTCTTGTTTCCCTTTTCCTTCTCATCTTCCTGTGCCGCCATTCTCTCTTTTCAATAAGCACACACAGACACACACACACACACACACACACACACACACACACACACACACACACACACACACACACACACACACACACACACACACACACACACACACACATATCTGTGTATTATTTTTCTCTTTTCCTTTGTGGAGCTCAAATGTTTTCTATGTGGTTATCAAACAATGCCAGACTGAAGCTGTTTATAAATAACATTAAACAGATAGTGTCCTCAAACGGCTGAGGTGGTCTCTTGTTTGTCTGCCTCCTTTTGTTCGGGCAAGCGTGCACATCTGTCCGAGTGTGTGCTTAATAGACATACCTCTAAATGAGCCCTGAGGCTGCATGATAAGGCAATGAAAAGAAAGAAAATCATCAAAAACTAAAAGGCAATAAAAAAACATAATTGAATATGTGCATTCATCTGCTGCAGAGGAGGAAAAATACATCCACATTTAATAAAGATAGATGTTGCCCCCCTCATGTCCCACTTTTGACCACACACTTAGCAGCCTCATATGAAATATGCATCAAAGGACACACACACTCACATAATACACGCCTGTCAAGGTGTATCAGCTGTGACGATTAAAGGGCGGTGTCTCGTGTCAGGTCAAGGTAAGGTCACGTAAGGCACTGGGATGTGATTGTTTCCTCATGCTTTATATTCATGTGTTTGTCCACCATGTAGGTCCGCCTGTCACAGCACATCCAGCCTGACAGCCGGTCGGACTGCAGAGTGGAAGTGGTGTGCCTCTGAGAAAGTATCACTGCTCTGTTTGTAAAACAAAGCTGACAATGGGGAGAGAAGGAGACTGAGTAAGGACAGAAAGACAGAGGGGTGCAGCTATCTGTGGAAGAAGTGTGAGAAGTAGTTATCAGTGCCAAACAGACCAGCAGCAGCCGGGGGAGAGGAAGCGAACCTCGCAGGGCAGTGCTTGGTTGGATGCATAGTGTCTGCATACAACCGGAACAAGGTGTAAAACTTACACTCATTAGTAAAAATAAATCATAATCGGCTTTAACATTTTTAAAGCACACAGGTAATTTTATAAACAGACTTTTCCAAAAAAAAGAAAAAAAAAGATGTAACACATGTCATTGCCGCATATGCAGGTTTGACTCGCAGTAATGTTTACAGCAGCTCTTTACTAAAGGCATGAAAAGTATTTTTCCCCCTGGGGAATTTTACTGTTTATCACACCCAAATGTTTGCGATCAAACACATTTCAAGATCAAAGACAAAACCAACAGAAAAAAGGAATTTTTAAATGATTTAATGTATCAATTTAAGTCTCACAAGGGAACAAATGACTCAACCAAGCACAGAGCATAATTCAAAACTTTTATTAAAAATCAGAATGATCACACAAATGTCCAGGACAGATCAAATTGAGAAAAAGAGGTAAGAGACTGAAGAGTTAAGTTCAGATTGTCACTGAGTCAGAGATCTTCAAATCCAGGCCTTGAGGTCGAGAGTCCAGCAACCTTTAGACGTATTCCTGATCCAACACACCTGAATTACCTCCTCAGTTCTCCAGACTCCTGCTAATGACCGGATGATGTCACTCAGGTGCCTTGAAGAAGAGACACTTCTAAAAGTTGCAGGACACATGTCCTTGAGGACTGCAGTTGAAGACACTTGCTCTGAATGATGAATCAGCCGCTTCTGAACTTATGAACCTTGTAGTTCTTAGGAGAAAGTTCCAGGATTGTTTCTATAAATCATTTGTCTAAAGACAAATCCTGTCGAAAGGGCAAAGATGTGATAAGAAGGCAGGTGAAGGTCAGAAACAGAAACAGGGAGTGAGAAGACCAGGCATGGAGAGAGCTGAGAGTAAAGGTCAGAATAAATGCCTGTGGTCTCTGAAGCAAAACTGCATTTTGGTAAACAACATTTCAAACCTAAATTTAATCATTTTGTGCTAAATTGTAAAAGTGTTTGAATGAATGAATGAAAAACAAGTAACTTATATTTGGACTGAGTTTAGTTCAGAACATTCAGCTCCTGAGCACTGTAAAAATAAATTCAATTTTAATCTATATAAAATGAACTAAAACAAACTGTAAAGGTGAACCCACACAACTGCACACAGCAGCAAGGCCATTAAGAATTTGTGAATAGTATTATTGACTGTTGTACATGCATATGTACTGGTAAAAGTGTGCAGGCATCAACACTCTTTAAAATGAGTTGCTGTCTCTTGGTACACTTGGATTGACTCAACTACTTTAAAGACAATGTTTCTGACATGTTAAAAGTTTCCTTTGGAGCCAACTGCCTGAAGGCTGGAAGCCATTGATCATCAAAGAACTACTTTCTTTTTCTGTGATGCTTTGCCAGAGTTTTACTGCAGATGTCTTTCGCAGGATGGTTGAGAACCTGCCTTTAGTTCACCTGTCTGCTGTTGCATTCTCAAAATAAACACTTGGTGCCATTGAGAGCATAATTAAGACCGCCATTGAGATTATTTAATTTCCGAGGCAGAGCATTGCAAAGTAGTAGAAAATCTGATTTTTGTAACCGAGACGGATAATCTGGCACCAAATAAGATATGTCTTTTACCTTTGCTTGATGAGATGATAGTTTTCAGGTGGAAGAACAACATAACAGGAGCTCCCCTGTTAATTATACAATGACTAAAAAATAGCTAAGCATTTCTACATATCCACTTTGGTACCTTGTGCACTATTGGCGATTCTTCTAGCAGTGGTATTATTATATATATATGTTATATATCTCATTATATATCTAAGTTTAAGTCTTCTTTACTTAGGAACAGCCTTTACACCAACTAGTTTTGTTCTCACCGTGACCTGGCAGTGATGTGTATGGCATGTTCACTGACAGGAACGAATAATGAATGGCTGAGTTTCCAACTGGCTGATCACCTGCCAGGACAGATCAAGGGAAAAATCTCCTGATTTCACTCACCAGCAGATTTCTCATGATGCCTCTAAATAAAAAGACATTATATAAAGTTCTTGTTCTGGTGTTGTTTACATGTTAAAATACCCCAGTGACTAAGAATCTGATGGTATAACTGCTAAGGCTCTGGGGAACAATATTGCTTCTGGTTCAATTACTATAATAAATCATGTTAGATCAAGCAGTCTGAACATTTTGCAAAAGAATGTTTGTTCCTCTCTTTTCCTTCTGTAAATCTCCTTTAATACATTATATTAAACAGCTGATGATTCCTAAGAATAACAATTATTGCTGTTTATATATAAGCAATAAGACTCATGAATAACACTCAGCACTTTGAACTTTGAATGTTTTCTTATTTCCAGACATGAGTAAAATAGAATTGTTAAAGAAAGACTGACAGGGATGGAAGAAGAAAGACAACAACAGAAAAAAGAAAGAAAAAACTCAAAAATAGGTGATAAAAAAGCCACATTAAAGCTGCAAGAAAAAAAAGGCAATGAGGATTTGGAAGCCAGTGAGGCCATAAATGCAGAAGAAGAAAGGTGAGGAAGAAAGGAAAGTGGGATGAATGTGACATATAATAAATAAAATGTTTGGACAAAGGGAATAGCAAAGTGAGTAAAGAGAGAAATAAGAACAAAGCAAAAAGGAGAGTGAGGAAAATACTAAAGATAAATGACTGGGGTGGTGAGAGGTAGAATAAATGCATAAAAAAGAAACAAACATAAAGGAAAAAAATGATATATAAACAGAAGTTGACAGGAGGAAAGGGAAATCAAAGGGTAAAAAGGCTGGTGTTAAGAGTCAGAGCACTGTGAGAGTTTACGGAAAGAAGAAATTAAAGAAGAGAGGGATGTGAGGGGAAAGTGAGAAATCATCCAGAGACTCATGTACGCAGTCTCTATGATCAAACACAAGAACAGCTCATCCAGTCCCTAAGCTGAGTATCTGAAATAGCCGCATGTGAATATTTATATATGCCTGTGTTCCCTTCCAAAGGCAAAGGGGCCAGGCAAAATTGATTTCTCTCAGTGTGAATCCCACAAGAGTTGAGGCTCAGTAAAAGAAAAGCAAAGCAGGAAAGAGGAAGGGAAATGGTAGAAATGAAGCAAAGTCTGAAAAAGCAAATTGTCTGTTTCTGCACAATAAGCTGAACCTTAAAACTATGAGACACAATGTCCAAAATGTAGATGGTTGTTTTTTTCCATCACATTTCTGTTGTACCCAGAAGAATGCAGGAAATTGCCTGAGAGCAATGATTTTGTTATTATTCCCATCACCATACGAGCACATTGCTGGTCTCACGCACCAGCTCACATTGCTCACAGTGCCCTCTTGTAAGCACCATTTAACACCAACCATCTTTTGGCTGCCATAACTCCATGAGGCTACATTACACTCATTACAGGCAGATATCTGCTTCAGATCGGAGAAAGATCAAAGTGTGGCACCCTGCAGAGTCTGCGCATGAAATGGATGAAACCTTGAGCTTAAACCGTGCTGTGTATTGTTTCAAAACTGTTCGAATTGCTTCATCAGACTAATTTTTCACTACATTCTGCTGTACATTACATTTATATGTATGTAATATTCTTACTTATATGTTGAATTTTCTTAGGGATGTCACTTTGTCAAACCACAGTATTTTCACATCATAAAATTACAACCAGAGGCAGAGTTGGATTCAGTCCAACAAGCGGATTTTTATCACCTTGCTGAGCCAAGGCTTTGCAGCCAAAACCATCATCAATATTTTTGGATGAGTGCAGAGCAGATGGATGAACTTCTGCCCCTCGCTGGCTCTAAACTGACCAGACAATGAACAGCAGCCAGAACTGCAGGTCTGAGTGCAACATTGCAGAAGGAAAAGATTTAGGGCCTGTCAGTCTTGTAGTGTGTTTTTCTTTTCTAGGATATGGATGATTGGCTTATTGACTTTAGGGAAGGTCTTGTGAATGACTGAGTAGAAAAACTGCACCTTGCAAAGGTATTTACCACCCTTCAGCTTTTACACGTTTTTACACCATAACTTTCAGTGCGTCTCACTGGGAAATTATTTGACAGAGCAACACAGTAGATCATAACAAGTGGTAATTGAATAGTACATCATTTAACTTTTTTTCACTGACAAAAAAAAAATATATTCCCAAAGATCCTCGGCCTTAAAATGAGTAGCTTAGGGACGATTCATTCAGCTGCTGAGAGCGACTCAGAAAGAAGACGATGAAATTCTATGCTTCTTAGTCTTCTACTTCTTATTTAATAGCGTCTGGCATCTATATGGAGCATTACCACCACC